CTCCACAAGTGTGAATTCGCAGAGCACCACTCGAAGAAAGATGGTCACAGGTATGTAACCTACCATTATCTTACATCTTAATTATAAATAATCTAAGATAAAGCAAATGTCTTAATTTGTAATGGATACTATGAGCATTACTACATTTGACATTTTAGGCAATGTTCATTTCCTCAAAAACAAAACTGTAATCTGTAAAACAATCATAATCAAAAACAATATGCTCTAACCATTGCCTTCTTTTTTAATCCTTCTTTCTTTCATCAAGTATGTTATACATTAATCCTTATTTGCCTCAAAATAAATAAATACAATAAAATTAATACAAGCTACATAATAAATGGTGTATTCATAGTCACAAATTCTCCAATGAAAATTTTACTTTATTTATTAAATTTATATCCCTCATTTCCCCCAGGATGGGATTCAAAGTGGCAGAATTACAACCCTTTATTTTATGTTGTTAAACAATATATTGTCCATCAATTATATTCTGAGTTTCAATTCTTTGGAACTGGCTGAATGAAGAAAGACTATGGAGAAATTTGATCTAATATTGTGGTAGAGCCGATTTTAGCCCATTTGTGTTTCTTTCTTCAAATCATTTCTGATGTATGATGATCCTAAGGCAAACCTATCATAGGGGTGGTTTTTTTTTTTTTTTTTTTTTGCAAGATTTGTTCACAGAGAGTTTGCCTTTGCCTTTGTCAATTTCACGAAGTGGGTATCCATGGCTACATGGGAGGATTTGAACCCTTATCTCAAGAGTCATAGTCAAGTGCCCATACTGTAATACCATACTGGCTCCTTGAATGAATGATATACATATACATATATACATATATATATATACATATACATATACATATATATATGTGTGTGTGTGTGAATGATGCATGTAAATATTCCTTCAAATAGAAAAGCAAAAATCCAGATTGCCAAGGATCTAATTTACCAAATAGATGCTCACAGCAGCTGCAGACATCTCTGCTTTGCATGTTATGTGCTTCACCTATTATGCAGAAGCAGATGTATTTGTTCAGTCATAAACCACAATATTTTTTAAAGACTACAAACACCCAAGGCATGCTCTTGACTTCTCAGTTATCATCACAAAGATAAAAAGTTAAGGCAAGATAAAATTGTGATGATCATTTCTCATAGCAATTTTTTCTTTCTCTCCCTGCAGTGTCCACAGATTTTTATCCTTATACCAGCTCAAGAGTTTCCTGCTACTGTATGACAATTAAGATGTCCTTAACCAATTCTTCCGACTGCAATGTTTATTCTGAAATGGAGCCATTTACTTATTTTTATTACTTGATCTTTCTTATTGGGTTCATCGGGAGCTGCTTTGCCCTATGGAGCTTTATAAAGACAAAAGAGAACCGCAAATGCATGAGTGTTTACTTGATAAACCTCCTCACAGCAGACTTTTTGCTGACCCTTGCCTTGCCAGTGAAAATTGCTGTTGACTTAGGAGTTGCCCCATGGAGACTGAAAATATTCCATTGCCAAGTAACAGCTTGCCTCATCTATATCAACATGTACTTATCAATCATATTCTTGGGTTTTGTAAGCATGGACCGTTGCCTTCAGTTAATACACAAGTGCAAGATCTATCGTATCCAGGAGCCTGGTTTCGCCAAGATGATATCGGCAGTAGTCTGGGCAATGGTTCTCTTTCTCATGGTGCCCAACATGGCAATCCCAATCAGAGAGATCCAAGAAGCACCAACTGTGGGCTGCATTGACTTCAAGACAAATGTGGGAAGAGACTGGCATGTATTTACCAATTTCATATGTTCTGCAATATTTCTAAATATTTCAGCCATGGTGCTGATTTCCAACTGCCTCACAATAAGACTACTCTATCAAAACAAATGCAACAGAAATTATCACAATGTAAAAAAAGCTCTGGTGAACATACTCTTAGTCACTGCAAGCTACATAATATGCTTTGTTCCTTACCATATTGTTCGGATCCCATACACTCTGAGCCAAAGCAAAGCTATAGTCACAGATTGCTCACTCAGGCAATCCCTATACAAAGCTAAGGAATCCACACTGCTGTTTGGGGTCTCAAATCTGTGTTTTGACCCTATTTTGTACTTTTACCTTTCAAAGACATTTAGACTGAAAGTAACGCAGACATTTGGATCAAGTAAAGACAAAAGAGTTCTCCAAAATGACTGGGAGATGGATAAAGGACAAACAAAGAATACTGACATTCAAACCAGATGACTCCAGATTTTTTTTCCAGAAGTTGAATGTACTCTACATTAAATATATAGTTGACTCCTATATTAAACATATAGTTGTCACAGTCCTTTCTTTGTCCTTCCAAGTAAAGAGTTGTATTTTCTATCACACAAAACCAGTGATATATCCTCAAGACAACACAACAATTGCTATAACCATTTAGAATTTACTTGTGCAGGCTTCGTAGGCACTGGTTGTACATATTTTATTCCTGCTATGATAACAAAAAATGCTGCTCCCCTTATCATTTTTCCAACTCTGTCACATTCAATTAAAAAATGTAACATGTTTTTAACCCTTTAAAAGGAGATTGAGATGTTATTTTATTTATTAAAAGCCTGCAAGGAGAGCACGGAACAGACCAATAGATGCATATAAACTGTGCCAATTCAGCTGTAATAATCTTGCTATTGCATTAATAGTACTTATTGATGTTTTGTTGTTTTAATGTCCTGCCCTTCATCTTGTACTAAAATTCACAGAGTAAAATTACTGGACATCCAATTTTATCTTTAGAAAGTAAGAAATAAAGCAGCAGGAGTCATTATAAGAGAATAAGAGAGCACAATGAAGGCTAGAGACCATTTTCATTTGTTGTTCCTGAAAGGGAACAGCCACCAGAGTAACGAATCATGACGGAACAATGGTCTTTTCTCCTTCAACACCTACTAGGAGCAACTAAGGCATTTCTGTGCAGCTTTGAGATGCAGAACTGACCCTCATCTTTATGAATTCTGCTTGACTTACGTCTTTGCTCATGGCAAAATCTAGTTTTTCAGTGCAAGCACCAGGGAAGCTTTCCAAGAGTCCACAGTCCTTAAGTCAAATAGCACGTGGGTGTGAGAAGATGGAACATTCAAGCATAAAAGCCTCTCCTTATGCATCTCAACCGTCGTATTATTCAACATTTAAAAAAATAAAGTTCTTCAACCATACTTAACTTTTATGTTCTCTATAGATGCATTAGTACTGCTAAAACATGATTTGTGAGTGTATTTCATAATGTCTACTGGGAGCCCCCGGTGGCGCAGTGGGTTAAAGCACCGAGCTGCTGAGCTTGTTGATCGAAAGGTCGCAGGTTCGATCCCGGGGAGCGGCGTGAGCTTCCGCTGTCAGCCCTAGCTTCTGCCAACCTAGCAGTTCGAAAACATGCAAATGTGAGTAGATCAATAGGTACCGCTTCGGCGGGAAGGTAACGGCGCTCCATGCAGTCATGCTGGCCACATGACCTTGGAGGTGTCTACAGACAACGCCGGCTCTTCGGCTTAGAAATGGAGATGAGCACCACACCCCAGAGTCAGACATGACTGGACTTAATGTCAGGGGACTACCTTTACCTTTACCTTTACTGTGGTGTTGTAGGGAGTATATCCTGAAAAATTGTACCTAGCAAACTCTAGAACAGATGCTTCAAACAAAGTAATCCTAGGATCAGTGTCACAACCATGGATTTTCACACTTTAGAACTTATGTTATATAAATTCTTGGCAAATCTTCTATGCCAGATTTGTTTCTTATTACTGTTATTCTTTATTATTATTATTTAAACAATAATCTGAAAGCATTTGGAAGGAAAGGAATACTCAATTATTTTATTTTCCCATTACATCACTCCAACTTGACACTGCCTGCAGTTGTTTCCCTCTGAATACTTCTTAAAGAAAGAATTCTATTACATGTGTTATTTTTTGTTACAACACAAGCCTATAATAACATTGCTAAGACAAGCAAGAACACCATCAGTAGCATTAAGTAAATAAAACAGCAAGTGTTTGAAAGCTAACTTCATCTATTGATTACAACACATTCATCATAATTAACATTGGACCCTGATCCCAGTTTTCTCAGGATATTTCTATGGTTTATTTTTACTCTGATTTCTAACTGTATTTTAAAAAGAAAAGAAAAACAATCCATCCTGAAAGTTGTAAAATTGCAAAGTTCCTAATATGTTTCATATAAATAATAATAATAATAATAATAATAATAATACTTTATTTATATCCTACCACCATCTCCCCGAAAGGATTTGAGCGGCTCACAAAAACACTCAATGGTGCAAACAAATAAAATACAACAAGGTACATAAGAAAAATTACACAATAACAATAAAATCAACATAAACAAATTACTTAAAACATCATATAAAACCTATACTGACTTAAAAGATTCAATAAGATGCAGCAGTGGATGCAGATATAAAAATAAACAATAATGAACATCAGTCCGGAAAATGCTATAGCGAAGCAAATCACTAGATCCTCAGATATAGCAGATAGGGTTGTAAACATGGTTGAAGGACTGTTTGAAAAGCCATGTTTTCAGATTTGTTCTAAAATCTTGAAGAGTGGGGCTAGTCTAATCACTCTAGGGAGGGCATTTCAGATCCGGGGGGCCACCCCCCGAGAAGGTCCTCTCTCCCATCCCCACCAACTGCATTTGAGACAGGGGTGGGACCAAGAGGAGGGCCTCCCCAGCAGATCTTAGAGCCCATGCCAGTTCATAGAAGATGTGGTCTTGCAGCTAGGTTGGATCTGAAGCGTAAATGTCCAAATATAGTATATACCAAGGCATGAACTGTATATACACACACATGCATATCTATTCGTCCATCCATCTATCCCTACACCTAACCCTATGTAAAATCCCAATCCAGGAAATCTTGGTTATTATCAGTCCACTGCACATAATGCAGCAACTTTAGCTTGAGTCCAGTAAATAGCATTTAGTATATCTAAGGCAGCAGAGAATTTAGTGGACTTTGATTCCAAGAAAAGATAGATAAGGTACACATCTAATACACCAGCTCTTCAGAAATTGACAGTGATTACTTACCAGAGGTATAGGAAAATGTGTTGCATATTGCAAATGGCGAAGGAGATTATAGTTTGATGGAAAGATCAGATCCCTTCCTTTCTCTCTCTTCATAGATTTTTCACTGTTAATTGAAATTCTTCTGTCAAGTATGGACACGGAATTCAAATTCTCACAAGGCTCCCCAGGCATTGGAGAAAAAATCTAAACCGTGTAAAAGGAATGTTTAATATTGTAAACAAGCACATCTATTAGGTTTATGACATGACCAATTCTGTATATCTCTTTTAATCACAAAAATATAATTTTGGTTATTAGGTTTTTCTGATTTATGTCAATGAGAAATAAATCTCTATGTTGTGATTATGCAATATTTAGGCCTATTTTTTTCTCTTTTCTCATAGAGCATATGCGAAAACATAACTTAACAGCACAATCCTTTATTTGTAAGCCATGTTTGATTATACTTTCAAGCAATATTATTTTGAAATAAATTTATGTTTAAATCAGACCTTCTTTGTTCTCTCTAGTACATGGCAGTCCATGTTACAGAACTTCTCCCTAGTCCTTGGATCAACGTTTTTGCTACAAACTGGAGGAAGACAGGATAGGTAACTACTAACATTAAGGAAGCATGAGTTGCACATCACTTCTTCCTATTTCTTTAGGTAAATATAGATGGGATATGCCTAACACATCTTTGAGCTTGGCCTACTAACAACATAATTATAAACAAGCTTAGTTTTCAGCTATTCACAAACCATTGATTAGATTTTAGAGATCTAGTTCCTTCATTGTTCCGTCTGCAGTCATTTCATAGGTTTGACATTTGTTTATGTATTCAGAACAGTCCAACCTATGATGACCTAAATATTTGACTGCTTTGTCACACTGAAACAAGTCAAGGTTTTCAATGGGTCTTATATGTCTAAAGATGGTCTTGAGGGAAGTGGTTGAGAAAATCCTTCTGACTGAATAGGAGTAACTATTTACAGTGCTCAGTGCTCAAAACAGGAGCCCCCGGTGGCACAATGAGTTAAACCCTTGTGCCAGCAGGACTGAAGACCAACAGGTAGGAGGTTTGAATCCGGGGAGAGTGTGGATGAGCTCCCTTTGTCAACTCCAGCTCCCCATGCGAGGACATGAGAGAAGACTCCCACAAGGATAGTAAAACATCAAACATCCGGGCATCCCCTGGGCAACATCCTTGCAGACAGCTAATTCTCTCACAGCAGAAGCGACTTGCAGTTTCTCAAGTCATTCCTGACATGAAAAAAGTGCTTAAAATACAGTGCTCGTTTCAAGAGCCAATACAGTCCTCAAAATACTTTCGAATCCTACAACTGTGAGTGCTTACTATGATAATACAATGCAGTAGCAATCCCATACATACATACCAGGGCATCGGATTCTAGAACTGGACTCCAAAACCATTTCTCCTAAATGCTGATCTATACCACTTGAAAAAATATGCCAACAATAAAAGCTAACATTGTTCAGAAAGACTAACAAAAGTTGATTTAGCATTTTGAGTAATACAATTGTTCAACACAACAGCTCAGAAAGTATTAAAGATATGAGGTCATGCTTGAGTGGTCATGATGAGTTCATGACGTTAGAGTTTTGATCAGAGTGGAAGTGGTATCAAAATTACTACAGTGAAAATAGATGACGAAATTTTTGTAAGTCTACAAATATGATTCTGTTTTAAAGAAGAAAAGTTGATTATGAAGAAAAGAAGTGATATATTTTGATAGTACTAAAAGAAATGTGAAAAATACTACTTGAGTCTCTCAAGTGTTAGATCATGCTGGCGGACGTAGCAAAATGAGGAATGGAATCCTTTAAAAAATATCAGAGATTAGACCTACTGGAAATTCCGAACCAAAGTCTGTCTTAAAGTCATTCTTGTCTACGTCATCAAAAATATTAGCTGTTCCTGCGTCAATGTACATATGTTCCATAATACTATGCTCCTAGTGATCACCGAAGAGAAAAAGAAATGCCAGTCAGAGTGTGATGCAAATCCTAAAGGACTGGTCACAAACTGTTAAGATAAAACCACTCAATTTTTTTAAAAGCAAAACAGGTATAATTGGTTATTGGTTGTATATGACAGAATACATTTTACTTCCAAAATACATAACAAGTAAACTACTCCTTTTAAAAACTCATTCTTAAAGCATCATCATCATCATCATCATACATAAAAAGAACCTAGCGTGCTGCCTGGGAACGGTTAGGTAGAACAATGTGCTCACATTATACTACTAGCTCAGAGATGCCATGCTACCAATACAAGATGAACAAAAATATCTTATTTCTTTATTTACTATATTTATACCCCACCCTTCTCACTCCAAAGGGGACTCAGAGCGACTTACAAATAGGCAACATTTCAAGGCCGCATAACAGACATACTGATAAAATAAACCTATACATTAAAATCATAAAATTAAAACATCTCAATCTTAAAATCAATTGTTAGAACCACCTTAAAACTAATTGTTAATGTGAGCTACATCACTTTTTTCCACTGAGGAATATAAGGAC